CTCATTGCACTTGTCACTCGTCGCATCGCTCACTCACTCTACTCTCACTTCGTCGCTCACTCACTCTACTCTCACTGCGTCGCTCACTCACTCTACTCTCACTGCGTCGCTCACTGACTCTACTCTCACTGCGTCGCTCACTCACTCTACTCTCACTGCGTCGCTCACTCACTCTACTCTCACTGCGTCGCTCACTCACTCTACTCTCACTGCGTCGCTCACTCACTCTACTCTCACTGTGTCGCTCACTCACTTCATTCATTCTCACTGCGTCGCTCACTCACTCTACTCTCACTGAGTCGCTCACTGACTCTACTCTCACTGTGTCGCTCACTCACTTCATTCATTCTCACTGCGTCGCTCACTCACTCTACTCTCACTGCGGCGCTCACTGACTCTACTCTCACTGCGTCGCTCACTCACTTCATTCATTCTCACTGTGTCGCTCACTCACTTCATTCATTCTCACTGTGTCGCTCACTCACTTCATTCATTCTCACTGTGTCGCTCATTCACTTCATTCATTCTCACTGCGTCACTCACTCACTTCATTCTCACTGTGTCGCTCACTCACTTCATTCATTCTCACTGTGTCGCTCACTCACTTCATTCATTCTCACTGTATCGCTCACTCACTTCATTCATTCTCACTGTGTCGCTCACTCACTTCATTCATTCTCACTGTGTCGCTCACTCACTTCATTCATTCTCACTGTGTCGCTCACTCACTTCATTCATTCTCACTGTATCGCTCACTCACTTCATTCATTCTTACTGCGTCGCTCACTCACTACATTCTCACTGCGTCGCTCACTCACTTGAGTCGGTCGCCGTGTTGTCATACTCATCGTCGCTCTCGCTGCCCGATGTGCTGTCGAGGATGGTGGCGGCACCTGCATCGTCCGGCGCGCCGTTTGCGTCACTGCCCTCGCCGCTGTTGTTGTTTTCCTCCCTGACACCGTGTAATTGTCTACATGTTTCTATTGTTGCACTGAATGGAATCGTTGTAGCCAACTATAAAAGTTTATCAAAAGCTTGAGATAGACTGTAAAACGTTCTATTTCTGCCCAATAGAAAGATAATGCACATGGTTTTGAGGTCGTTAGACATGATTGAAATATTTTTCCATGAATCACATCGTTACAGTTGCCTAGTCGGATGGAGTTGAAAGCTTGGGCTAAATATAAATCGTTTCATTTCCCATACCAAAAAACACGGCCCAACCACGCAGCAGTGATCTAGAGAAAGCAGAGATAAGATCCTAGAGTGATTGTGATCTAGCGCTATCTAGAGCAGTGATCTAGCGTGATCTAGTGCAGTGATCTAGCATTGCTCAATCACGCACCTCGTTAGGCGCGCGGCAATGCAACGCACCGCCCCGCCGAAATTTCAAAAATTGACTCGAATGTGGCGGGGTTCGCAGGACGTGTCGCCACCTATATGTTCCTATTGTGTGAACAATGTGTTCTGAGTTTAGCTCTCAAGTACTACACAGACTGATGCTATGTTCTAATCTACACTAGTGTGGAGACGAGAATTGTTACTGCGTCATAGCAGAGATGATGCAACGCGGTACAGGAATGGCAACAGCTGCTGATGACTCAAAGTCACCTGTCCGACATAGGGAATCAATACGGCACGCGAGCTGCTCATTGGTTGTAACGAGCGGTGCCGTATGGCGGAAGGTGATAGATATATAAGGAAGAGGAAAGAAGGTTCGAGAAGAGTCGGGTGGGGCACTGGCTACCCGACCCACGCATGTAAGCTGCAGCATATATGTATTCCAATAAAGACGACTAAATCTTATATAACATACACAACCTCTTCGACCATCATTCTCTACGATCACCGACCGACGAGTTAGAGTAACAGCAGAATACGAGGGCTACACTAGTACATATATGTTCCAGGGCTGCCAACTCTCACGCATTGACCGTGAGACTCACGCATTGACCGTGAGACTCACGGTGAGATATTGTAAGATCAGCGTGAGAGCGTGAGATTTGGTCAAAATGTTTTTTGCTGTGCTTGCTGAGATATCTCACACATGAATATCTCTTCATGAATAAAACGCTGATATATCTCACGCACAGCAAAAAAAATCTTACAATATCTGAAAACAGTCACTTTAGTATGCACCAAATTGCACAAATTGAAGTTATAAAATGCAAAAGCTCCCTACCGTGGAAGGGGGAAAACCTAAAGTCCGAAGTCCTGAATCGCGGAATTTGCGTGAATCGCGGAAAACGCAGTTTTGAGAAATAAGAAAAAAAAACCTCCAAAAATGACAAAAAAACGAAATTTAATTATATAAAAACCCTGAAAAAAATAAGAAGAAAACCTGCTTTAAATTCATCTTAATAAAGAATAATAAACTCACAACATTAATATTTCACCATAATAACGCATGTAGTAGGCCTATGATTGATCTCCCATCTGCATCATAACAATCCGATTGCATCACCTGATCAGAAATTCCCATGGACAATTCGCGCTACTGCAATGCAGTCAATTTTCACATTTGAATTAACATTTACATCTAAGCTCATCCAACATCAATTCTAAAATAATTAGCACTCTCCCGATTCCGTTGCCTCGATGCCAATTTTGGATACTGCAACGTACTACAACAGAAACAGAAACTTGTTGTCCCACAAGCCTCTGCGCGGCCCGTTCTAAAAATAGACACAGTATTCAATGGGGACATCGAGGGGCGCCTACAATGAGGTAAGTAAATAGTTAATAGTTTTTTTTGAAAGTCGGAAAATTGCCAAATTTACAAAGCGGAGAAAAGCGGAATTTTGGATATGTAAAGCAGAAAATTTTGGACTTTAGGAAAACCACCTTCCCACACCACCGCCTCGATCGCTTCGCTCCCTCGCATCTCACTCTCACCTATCACCCAATGTTGGCAGCCCTGTAATAATATTTTTTCTGTTTCCACCCGTCGCTTGCATTGTTTTACTCAGACATAAGCTGCCTTGCTGCGACGAGATTTGAATGAAAAAAACACAATGTGAATGGAACAATCAGTGCATAGTCATGCACACAACATGCACGCAGCAACATGTAAACCCGGCCCCCAGGCCAGGCATGGTCGTTACGTGACCAGCTACCTCAAATGTCTGCCCCTCTACTGCAGCCTGTGAACGAGGATTTTCTTTTCTGGTACACAAAAACAGATACACTGTATACTTCGCTGTCAATCTACTGCCTACATCTACAGTCTACAGTCAGGTGCTGTTGAGAATATATAATTTAAATTTTTACATTGTTACCCCCCACCCCAATTTTCTCAACGAATTTAGACGTTTCACAAAATCGACCCCTGGGACTGTAAATGTAAAATCCACGGATTTCCGCGGATCCGCGGGAAAATCTCATCCCTGGATATGCGTCGAGCGCGAGCATAGTGTTGGGGGGGGGGGCTCTAATAGCAAAAGCATTGTCTGTCATTTGTTAACAGTCAACAAATCCATGTTTAACACTCCTCTTGAGGGTCAAAAGGTTATCAGACACATACTCTTCGCACGTCAGCGGCAAGTACATTTCATGGTCCTTTCAATAAACTGATAAAAATGGTAGGTTTAATAAGTTAGTTTATACAATTTCATGTTATTTCCACTAGTCTTAGTGATGTTGTTGAGGCTGGACAAAAGAATGTGTTTGGGTTCAGTTTATATTTCCGTCATGATTTTGTATGATTTTTATTATATTTGTGATTGCTCATTCCAATTTTTGCTATGTTAGTCCTAGCCCAGGGGTGGGCAAACTGCGGCCCGCGGGCCGCATGCGACCCTCTATGCCTATGGGGTTCTGTGCGGACCGCGGAAGACTGCAGCAAATTAGAAAAAATAAAAATAAAAATAAAAAGTAATAAAAAATTTTGTGTGAAAGTCAACATGTTTGTGCTTGAACAGAGGCTGACTTTTTCAGTGTCATACAGATTAGTGTTCTATTGTCTCTGGGTTCGCTCTGCAACGCCATTTCAGGTAATTATGGTCCAGAGATGGCGCCCTTGAGGCGAAACGCTGTCTATATGTTGTATTATCTTACTCTTAGAGCGCATCACCCGATTTTAAAAGGTGCGGCCCTTTGACTTTTCATGGCCCACGGATGCCACAGGAACTTGAAGCGTTTCAACTGTAAACACACGCCGCCACCATTGCGCGCACACTGACACACAAATATATAGCAGGTGAGAAAGCGCGACTGCGCACGAATGTTAACGAACTTTCGCCGCCTTTAACCATGGGCGAAAGTTCGTTAACATCCGTGCGCAGTGCTAGCGAACGCGAGAATTTCGTCAGTCTTTGTGTGATTTCGTGTGACACAGCTCGGTTACGAACAGAGACATTATGTTTTTATAACAAGTGAACACTGTTCTTAAAGGAGAAACAAAGATGGAAGCTGTTGGATGTGTATTTGTGTTGAAATCGTGAGAAAGGCAGCGAGCGTCGAGCGAATTTTTGGGATCGCGCTTTCTCACCTGCTATATATTTATGTGTCAGTGTGCGCGCAATGGCGGCGGCATGTGTTTACAGTTGAAATTCTTCAAGTGCCTGTGACTGATGCGCCTCTCGCGCTGAAAAGTTTGCCCACCATGCACTGTCCTACTAGTACGCGTACTAGCCTGTTTTGAACTTATTCTGGTGAGGTAATCTAAATTTCTTTTTCAATTTGAATTTTCTGATGAACATTCATTGAATTTGACCTCAGTTTGCCCATGTTCATGCTGTTGTACGCTGTTAGTGTTACTGTTAGTGTTATAATTTCTTAGGTCTTTAAAAAAGTTATCAGCAACCTACCTACAACTAGTACAAGTACAAACAATTAATGAACTAGGGCCGCCCTACGTCTTTTTACTCAACACTGTGTATTTTGTGTCTTATACTATTCTAGGACGTATCAGTGATAAGTTGCATACCATTTGCATCATCACATGTCATTTGAATAACGATATAAAGATAATAATGTCATAATAAAACATGGTAACTTACCTATCACGCAAAACCACCTCGTGTAAAGACGACGAAAAGAGCGCGAATCCGCAACCGGTTATGACGTCATCTACGATCAACGCCATCAAGCGTCGTTTCGCATGAATTTCAGTGTCTTCGTAGTCATTCGAAAAGTGTTAGAAAAGCCGTTTTAATAGCGTCCATTAAGGGTCAATTCAGAGTCAACCCGTCCGTTTTGAACAGAACTCTTCAAAAAGACGCGGTTTAGACCAATATTAGTCGCGCATCAAAAAGACGCAAAAAAGACTATCGCGCACGAGCCACCACTGCTACCATAGATACCACGAGATACCACCACGTGAGAACACTGAGAACATGCAGGGTACCACGTTGGGAAATCATTTCCCATTGGCGGCTATACTTACGAAAAAATTCCCATAAATCAGCAGAAGGTTTTGAGAAATCACAATGCCATCCTCTGAATCCGCGTTGCAAGCATGGAAATATATAGAGACACTGTAGGCTACTATATTATTTCTATGGTCGCAAGTGACACCATAATCTTTGAAAAATACGATTTCTCTCGGGAGATATTGCGCATGCGTGCGCACCGTGTTAGGCGTGCAGTGCCGTCTGAGGCAAACGTCATAATATAGCTTGCTGAGGGAGAGAGGGGATGGGAGACTGAGGAAATGCGGCAGGAAAGATAGCTGGAAGCGGTAGAAGAAGAAGGATGCTGAGTGAAAGACAGGGAAGATACGGGGAAGGACGCGAGGGCATAAAGTTAATTTTAAATGCGTAATCTTTGCAAAATACGATTGCTCTCGGGAGATATTGCGCATGCGCGCACACCGTGTTAGGCGTGCAGTGCCGTCTGAGGAAAACTTCATAATATAGCTTGCTGCGGAGGAGAGGGGATGGGAGACTGAGGAAAGGCGGCAGGGAAGATAGCAAGAAGCGGTATAAGAAGAAGGAGGCTGAGCAAGGGACACTGAGGGGAGGCAAGGGGTAGAACGCGAGGGCATAAAGTAGGTGTATTGTACCCTACATGCTAGGGCGCTCTCCTAATTATAAACACAGGTCTACTGATAAATGTTTTTTTATGGAAATCTATGCTGAGATACCCCCTAACCATTTTAAATGCATATTCATCACAAAATATAACTCCTCTGGTGAGATATTGCGCATGCGTTAACACAGTAACGTAGCCATATTGTGTACTGGCTGGTATACGCAGCCGGGACTTTACATGCAATGTCTTCCTCCTATTTCTTAAACGACGTCTACAAATGCAATGTTATCATACAAACCTATGCAAGGATAACTCCTCTTCATTTTAATTGCATAATCTTTGCAAATTACGATTGCTCTCGGGAGATATTGAACACGCGCGTGCACCGTGTTAGGCGTGCAGTGCCGTGTGAGGCATACTTCATAATATAGCGTGCTGCGGGGGAGAGGGGATGGAAGACTGAGGAAATCCGGCAGAGAAAATAGCTGAGGGCGCTAGAAGAAGAAGGAGGCTGAGCGAGGGACAGGGGAGGCAAGGGGAAGGACGCGAGGGCATAAAGTAGGTGTTTTGTACGCTACATGTAAGGGCGCTCTCCTAATTATAAACAGCGGTCTAATGATAAAAGTTTATTAGGGAAATCTATGCTGAGATACCGGCTAACCATTTTAAATGCATATTCATCACAAAATATAAATCTTTTGGTGAGATATTGCGCATGCGCTATTACACGCTAACGTAGCCAGATTGTGTACTGGCTGGTATACGCAGTGGGGACCTTGCATGCAAGGTCTTCCTCCTATTTCTTAAATGATATCTACAGATGGAATGTTATCGTATAAATCTATGCTAGGATAACTCCTCTTCATTTTAAATGCATAACCTTTGCAAAATGCCATTTCTCTCGGGAGATATTGCGCATGCGCGCGCACCGTGTTAAGCGTGCAGTGCCGTCTGAGGCAAACTTCATAATATAGCTTGCTGCGGGGGAGAGGGTATGGGAGACTGAGGAAAGGCGGCAGAGAAAATAGCTGGGGCGGTAGAAGAAAAAGGAGGCTGAGCGAGGGACACTGAGGGGAGGCAAGGGGTAGGACGCAAGGGCATAAAGTAGGTGTTTTGTACCCTACATGTTAGGGCGCTCTCCTAATTATAAACAGAGGTCGACTAATTTATTTGTTTTTTTTTAGGAAAATCTATGCTGAGATACCCCCTAACCATTTTAAATGCATATTCATCACAAAATATAACTCCTCTGGTGAGATATTGTGCATGCGCTATTAGGGCCTACACGCTAACGTAGCCAGATTGTGTACTGGCTGGTATACGCAGCCGGGACCTTACATGCAAGGTCTTCCTCCTATTTCTTAAATGATATCTACAGATGGAATGTTGTCATATAAATCTATGCTAGGATAACTCCTCTTCATTTTAAATGCATAACCTTTGCAAAATGCGATTTCTCTCGGGAGATATTTCGCATGCGCGCGCACCGTGTTAAGCGTGCAGTGCCGTCTGAGGCAAACTTCATAATATAGCTTGCTGAGGGGGAAAAAGGATGGATCATGGAAGACTAAGGAAAGGCGGCAAGAAAGATAGCTGTGGGTGGTAGAAGAATAAGGAGGCTGAGGGAGGGACAGGGGAGGCAAGAGGTAAGACGCGAGGGCATAAAGTTCATTTAAAATGCGTAATCTTTACAAAATACGATTGCTTTCGTGAGATATTGCGCATGCGCGCGCACCGTGTTAGGCGTGCAGTGCCGTCTGAGGAAAACTTCATAATATAGCTTGCTGCGGGGGAGAGGGGATGGGATACTGGGGAAAAGGCGGCAGGGAAGATAGCTGGGTGCGGTAGAAGAAGAAGGAGGCTGAGCGAGGGACAGGGGAGGCAAGGAGAAGGACGCGAGGGCATAAAGTAGATGTTTTGTACCCTACATGCTAGGGTGCTCTCCTAATTATAAACAGAGGTTTACTGATAAAAGTTTATTAGGGAAATCTATGCTGAGATACCTCCTAACCATTTTAAATGCATATTCATCACAAAATATAACAGCATGCGCAATATCTCACCAGAAGAGTTATATTTTGTGATGAATATACATTTAAAATGGTTATGGGATATCTCAGCATAGATTTCCCTAATAAACCTTCATCAGTAGATCTGTGTTGATAATTAGGAGAGCGCCCTAGCATGTAGGGTACAAAACACCTACTTTATGTCCTCGCATCCTTCCCCTTGTCTCCGCTGTCACTCGCTCAGCCCCCTTCTTTTTCTACCGCCCCCCCCCCAGCTATCTTCTCTGCCGCCTTTCCTCAGTCACCCATTCCCACTCCCCTCAGCAAGCTATATTATGAAGTTTTCCTCAGACGGCACTGCATGCCTAACACGGTGCGCGCGCAAGCGCAATATCTCCCGAAAGAAATTGCATTTTGCGTATACCAGCCAGTACACAATCTGGCTACGTTAGTGTGTTAGCGCATGCGTAATATCTCACCAGAGGAGTTATATTTTGTGATGAATATGCATTGAAAATGGTTAGGGGGTATCTCAGCATAGATTTTCTTAATAAACAGTTAACAGTTGACCTGTGTTTATAATTAGGAGAGCGCCCTAGCATGTAGGGTACAAAACACCTACTTTACACCGCATTTGCCCTTGCGTCCTTCCCTTTGCCTCCCCTGTCCCTCGCTCAGCCTCCTTCGTCTTCTATCGCCCCCAACTATCTTCCCTACCGCATTTCCTCAGTCTCCCATTCCCTCTCCTTCTCAGCAAGCTATATTATGAAGTGTGCCTCAGACGGCACTGCACGCCTAGCACGGTGAGCGCGCATGCGCAATATCTTCCGAGAGAAATTGTATTTTGCAAAGATTATGCATTTAAAATGAAGAGGAGTTATCCTAGCATAGATTTATATGATAACATTCCATCAGTTGACAACATTTAAAAAATCGGAGGAAGACCTTGCATGTAATGTCCCCGCTCGTATACCAGCCATTACACAATCTGGTTAAGTTAGTGTGTTAGCGCATGCACAATATCTCACCAGAGGAGTTATATTTTGTGATGAATATACATTTAAAATGGTTAGGGAATTTAACCGAACGATATTCATTTTAGGGCAAATTTATCCATATTATAACTGAGACTATATGTCGTTTATAAGATATTACAATCCTTTTGCTTTTAAATGAATAAATAAGAAACACCCTCAGTCTGTAGCCCTTGGCTGGAAAGTGGTTTTGTGCAACTTATCAGATCGTGCGCTTTGAGTGGCGCCACCGTCGTTGTAATCAAACTGTAGTCGTTGGTTTTAAAACATTTTTTAATAATATTTCTAATAGTGATTGAACCATGAAACTTTTTATGTAGCGTAATTTTAACCTAAATTAACTGAACATAACCCTAGAACCTAGAGTAAACTATGCCTTTACCAATGTTTGTACCATCATTAATTGGGTCTAGCGTGCTTATAGAGCGTGCAGCGCGTGCTAGTGTCTACTTGTACTAGCGCGTCTAAACTATCAGGGAAAACTTGTTGATGGCAATGAGTTATATATATAACTCTTTGGATCTTGGTTGAGAGAAGCTGCCGCCAGAGACTATGGTAAAATCGATGGGAGGATAGGAAATTGGGACGGTGAGGGACGGGGAAAATAACTAGTCCGCTGGACTAACGGCTATAGGGCATTTACTAGTCCTTATTTTTTACTAGCCTCGAACTAACAGACTAGCGTTAGTGTCAAACCCTGGTAGCCGGGTATTCTTCTGATAAACTCACTGGCAACCTAATCAAGTGCGGCCTCCCGCCACGGCGTTCGCGCTCAGAGCATACATCTAGGATACTACTTAATACAGATATACAAGAGCCGCAGAGCGTCTGGGCTCATCTGAGGTCTGTTGCTACGGTTATAAACGTAACATTTAAGTCGTGCGTAGTGACACCTTTGTTAGGCCTCCTATACCTTAAGTTAAGGGGGAAATATTCCCCCTCCGTTTACACATCTTGACCTTTGACCCTTGACCCCCAAATTTGTCACACACACACACACACACACACACACACACACACACACTCACGC